CACAAGCAGAACTGGTTTGTTCCACTTTGGAGTAAGCTGTTGGGGGACGAATCAGTTTTGTTGTGTGTTTCCTTGACTGATGAAGCCTTTTTGGACTGAAGGCGAAATGTTTCAGCACAAAAAAAAAAAAAGAAACTGTCCAGAAGACCTGACTGAAAATTGTTGGAACTAAACATAAGGTTAACAAAAGCAACAACCCAAAAGCAAAAAGCGCTTATACAAGAATTAGAATAAAAGAAACTTCATGTTCTTTCCTCCACGGTGGAGCTCTGCATGGTATCACCCAATCAATCAATCAGGGATTAGAGTGTGCCAGTCAGAGTCCATGGTTTCTGCCCAGTTCAAAGGATTCTCCTACAGCACCGGCAAAATAGAGAGAACACATTAAGTTTGACAGAATCAAATATACAAAAGCTAACAATGTGAGCGCTACAATTAGAACTAATGCATTTTAATATTGTCAAACAAAAAACTAAACAAAGCCTATACACAAATATGCTGCAGTGTGTGGGATATATATATTTAAAAGCTCAAAGTGAAAAAGTGTTGGTGCATGGGGTTACTGACTGTGTGGATGCAGATGTGGCCATCACACAGCCTCCCCACCATCACAAACATCTACATCTAGATGCAGAAAGAGGGCTACCTGCATCATGAAGGACCCCACTCACCCAGCACACACACTTTTTGCCCTGCTCCCCTAAGGCAGAAGGTTGATGAGCTTTAAATGCAAAATCACTAGACTAAGGAACAGCTTCTACCCTGAAGCTGTTAGTCTCATGAATCCTTAATCAGGATAATCACGTAAGGAAAAAAAAATCACTGGAATGCCACTTGATAACTTGATATGTGCTGCTGACTATCCATGCTGCTGATCTCATGCTGCTGATTTATTTCATGCTGCTATATTCATTCATACTCATCTGCTCACACAGACTCATGTTCGTGCAGCTGTTGTAAGGCATTTTGTTTTTGTACTATTAGTGCTTAGTGTACTCTTAGTTTAGCATACATGTATTTCTTATTTCATCTCTTAGATCTTATTACTGTTTTTCTTTACAATTTATACTTTTGTTGGATGTAACTGGGACTATGGGAGTGGTGGCGCAGAGGTTAGAGAGGTGGGCTTGTGATCCGAAGATCGCCGGTTCACGCCCCGGCCCCGACAACATCAAAAGAAATTGTGGGTGGGGTAGGTGAAACACCCACACTTGCCCCCACCGTCAATCGCCCCACTCTGGGCCCATGAGCAAGGCCCTTAACCCCACCATGTGCTCCCTAAACAGGTCTCTCTTGAAAATGAGTTCTCGTGGCTCAATGAGACTAACCTGGATAAAGAAAGGCTAAATGAAAAAAAACTGGGACTATGTGTACACAATTTTGTTCCATCACAAGTACCACATATGATGTGAATGACAATAAAAAAAACCTTGACCTTGACCTTAACCTTGACCTTGTTATGTACAACCATACACCGTATTGGTAAATCTTACTTGATTTGATAGTGCTTGGAGTGCAAAATGCAAGTACCACTTAGTCAATACCACACCAAATATCAGCTAAATAGCTGTAAAAATTACAGAGTTATACCATAATTTTTGTTGTATAAGTCAAAGTTTTTTGCACAATTTAGCATGTCTGCGACTTATACAGCAAAGCGACGTATTTATGTTTTTTTCCCCATATTTATAACCAAATTTGTGGCTGAGATCTGACGATTTCATTCATTCTGACATGAAAAATATTAAACACTACCATTTTCAGCCACTAGAGGGCCCTCAACTTATATGGCAAGAAAAGTGTCTTGTTAATAGTTAAAAGTGGCTATTAATGAGCCACTTGGCTTGCCATACAGAGCCGCCTTCATCTCGCTCTGGAACTCCTGGAACAAATGTCAAATCAGCTGCATTTCATTGAACCGCACAAGTGAAATGCAGCTGATTTGACCATTAAAGTCATTTATTTAGGAAAAGTCCGACTGAGACACACATTTGCTATGATTTCAAGCAAACAAATCATTGTTTTTAAGTGTTAATCTTGTTAAAATCTTGTTAAAAGTTAAAGTTGTTACACTCCTGTGCATGCTCCCGCGGCTGCCATTTGGCAGCCAATCAATTTTTGGCACAACACCAGCCTACATTTACGGGTTGCCAGCGGTGACACATAATAGATGCGACCTATATGACGAAGCAACATATTTATGTTTTTTCCATTTTATTAGACATATTTGGACTGATGTGACGTGTACGACGGCAAGTACGATAATTACTATTTTCCCCTAAGGTAGATGTTTTTGTCAACTGTAAAATACATTCAAACACACAGAAGCAGCTACATTACTGCCTGCATTTCAGCGGTGCACAATGAAACTTGTGTTTGTTGTGGCACTTTGCTTTTTGTGTCCCCCTCCCTGACAATGAAAACAGGTATCTTATTGTTGGTGTCAGTTCAAGCACCCAGAGCTGATGCCAGATGCAAACTCACCTTCCTCTGATTGCTGGAGTCCTTCTTGGTGGCTTTGATGAAATCGCTCCGGCTGTGAAGATACTCGTCATACTCCTCCTGCGTCATGTCTCCGTTCTCAATGAGCACATGGGGCACATGGGGCTCTTAAATAACACAGTAGTTAAAAAAAAACAAAAACAAAGGCAACATGGTGAATTTGTCTGAGACTCACAAACTCACAGGGGAGTGTGCAAATCTGTCAGCACAGAATTATCCCTTTATTATAGGATAATGCTAGAATTAATTGCATCACAGTGGGGACCTCAAAACAACAAGAAAAAGGCAAAACACTAAACAAGACTACTGAGTGTTTATCTATTTTATTATAAGTGTTTGTCGGGAAAAGATGGCTATAAAAATAACTTTATGTATTATCAAATATGTCTTGAGTTAAATTTCAAAAGGCAGGACTATTTTTTCTCTGCAGCTGCAGAAACGTTGGTTACATACTGTAACCCCAGATTCTATGAATATAGGCGTAGCCCTTTAAGGCTGTCACTGATGGGTTTTATCCCGATATGCGAAGCATTGCACTGAAAAATTTATTCCACGCCCACCTGCTGTGTGGGCCCCACCCAGTCCGTATAAATTAAGTTAAGAGCGGGTAATCAGCTCCCAAATAGCTTTTTCTTCAGCCATTTAGGAGCCAGTGAGGCCCAATGCTTAAAGGGCTACGCCTATATTCATAGAATCTGGGGTTACAGTACGTAACCAACATTGTATTTCATATAATCTTTGCCCTTTAAGGCTGTTGCTGATGGGATAAAGGTGAAGCGGATGTTGTCCTCACCTCACTGGGTCCATTCGAACACCGTATGAAGCAGAAGCTTGCCCAAAAAACGTCTTGTCACTCAGCTCCCCATGTGCGTAATTACGCATTACGTAATCATGTGTGCCAAGCACAGACGCATGTTGTGTAACTATGCGTTCTGAATGCATGAACACCCTGGAAAACTTTCAACGGGGAGGGAAAAAAGCTGAAAAGAGCCATGAACCAACCGGTTTACGGCTGAACAGTATGAACAGATTAATAATAACAGGAGAGCTGATTATTAATCAAATGAACTAATTGATAATAGTCATGAACTGATTAGTAACAATAGAACCAAAATAACAATCACAACTTGTGACTGATAACAACATCTCACACTGTAATGCATGCAGACAGATGTGAGTAAAACAAAGTTCCATGAAACAACAATATTCATTCTGTAAACACTAAGGACAGAATGTGTCATGGAACGAACCGTCACATCACGTAGATAAAAGCGAATCAATGAGCAGGGTGTTGACCACGCGGCCGCAGTGCAAATGTCCTGCATTGTCATACCATTATGCAAAGCAGTCGAAGATGCGATACCCCTGGTCAAGTGTGCTCTGAGGTTGACAGGAGGCTCTAAATCTGATGCTCTGTAGGTATCCGAAATGGCCTCACACAGCCAGTGTGACAGGCGCTGGGTAGATAATGGGTGACCTACAGATGCATCTCTATAATGCACAAACAAATGTTGAGTTTGACGCATTGCAGCTGTGCGCGCTATGTAACACGTCAACGCCTGCACCGGACAGAGAAGATGGAAAGACGCTTCTTCTTCTGATCTGTGGGGGGGAGGGAAAATCCTCTCCAACGATATTGCTCTTGATTTAAAAGAGCTCGTGATGTTTTTAGGCATAAAAGCTGGATTTGGTCTTAAATCAGCTGAGCTGCCATCAGCCTGAATTCTGAGACATGACGGAGAGACAGACAGGGCAGATAAATCACTCACTCTCTTAGCAGATATTAAAGCCAGCAGCAAGGCTGTGTTAAGAGACAAGAATTTAAGTGGAACCTGATCCAGAGGCTCAAATGGAGCTTTGATCAGGGCCTGCAGGACCAGCGTTAAATCCCACTGTGGAACAAGTGGACATAAAACAGGCGTGCGTCTCTGTACACCTTTTAGAAAATGCTTCATCAGCGGATGATTAAAAGCTGTTCTGTCTCCGAACCCTTCGTGGCAGGAAGAGATGGCTGCAGCGTACGTTTTAATCGTGCTGAACGCAAAGTTCCTGTCCATCAGCTGTTGTAGAAAGGACAGCATGCCACCTAGTGGATATGATGTGGCCTCTACACCCTTCTCTGTACACCAGCGCTGAAAAGCTGTCCACTTTGATGTGTACAGCACTGTGGTATATGCAGCACGTGAATCCAGGATTGTACGCACTACATCCTGTGGGAGACCCATCCTCTCTAAGTGGATCCGCTCAGTGGCCAGACCCACAGGTGCTGGCCTATTTCTGGGTAACTCCTGATCGCTCCTCCTGCCTGGAGGAGAGCGTCCTCCCTCCACAGCAGTTTCCAAGGGCGCCCCGACAGCAGGCGTTGCAGGACTGGGAACCATGGTGCGTTTTACGTGCTCGGGGGCCACCAGGAGAGCTGTCAATCCCTCCTCCTGAACTCGGTTCAGGAACCGTAAAATCAGAGTAGGTGGAGGAAACGTGTACAGAAGCATTTTGGGCCATGGGCTGTGGGCAAACGCATCCAGCCCCAGCGGTGGTTCGTCTCGCGGGCTCAGTGAAAACCATAGTTGACACTGAGCGTTTTCTCGTGTCGCAAATAGGTCCACAGCTGCTTTGCCAAATGTCTGCCACGTCTGAGCCATCAGATCTGGATGGAGAGTCCAGTCCCGTGACGTGGACCGCCCCTGGACATCACATCTGCCCCTTTGTTCAGAACACCGGGTATGTAAACTGTTCTGATGGAGAGCAGATTTTGGTGTGCCCAACACAGTAGTTTTCGCACAATGTGTAACATCTGGGCTGGGCGCATAGCCCCCTGCCGGTTTATATACGCAGCAGTCACCTTGTTGTCTGTGTGAATAAAAACGTGTTGATTCTGCAGCACAGGAGCAAAGTGTTGAATCACGTTCAGCACCTTGCGACACTCCAAAACATTTATGTGGGCTGATGTGTGATGGGGCCACAGTGCCCCTACAGCTTGAGATAGGCATGTCCCCCCCCAGCCTGACAGCGACGCGTCTGTGAAGACTGACACGTGTGACGTGGGTCTGCTGACGGGGACTCCCTCCGACAGAACCAGGGTGTTTCCTCAGTGTCGGAGGTCTGCCCTCACGGAGGGAGGAACAGTGATCATCCGTCTCTTTTGTTTTACTGGATCCACATGCTGACGCGTAAACCACCTCTGGAGGCGTCTCATGTGTAGTAAACCCAGCGGGACCATTGTGTGATGACATCGTCCCTAACAGTTTCATGATGGAAAACAGCTGTTATCACTCTGCCAGGTCTTACGTGGCGGAACTGGTCTTCCAGAGTGTCGATTCTCGTTTGTGATAAACGAGCCCTCATGGTGGTTGAGTTTAGCTCCACTCCCAGATAAACAATTGTCTGGGCCGGGAGAATCGAGCTTTTCTTCCAATTTATGGCGAAGCCCAGATTTAACAGGTGTGATGTCAGCGCCTGGGCCTGTCTCGCTGCCTCCTGTCTGGAGTGTGACAGCATCAACAGGTCGTCCAAGTAAAACAAAACTCTCATCCCTGCTCTGTGTAACGGTTGCAGGGCCGTCTCCACACACTTTGAGAACGTACGAGGTGCAAGGGAATAACCGAACTAGTAACCCTAGCTTAACAACCTGGCCATCCATCTGTCTGGAAAGCATGTTTTTAGCCACTCCGCGTAACGTTCGTGGAGTGGACGTGCGTTTAAGTGATGCATCATGTTTTGTACGGATGTCATCCAGTCCACCGCCTCGACCGTCGTCGTGTCGCGGGGAATATGTTCCATGAGACCCAAGGTGAGGCTTCTCGAAAAGGCTCTGAATGCGCCTGTGTGCTGCGTTCAGACCGCGGGCCCACCTTGTGTTGAGGAGAAGCGTGTGGCAGCTGATGATGCCGCTGGCCACCGCATTTGACGCCACTGCGGTGAAAAACGCGTGTCGCTCCTGCCACGAGCGGGGTCCTGCGCTGGTGTAGTGAACCTAACCTGATGTCAAGACTAAGCCTAAGGTCAAAACTCTTGACCTTAAGAACCTTGTGGGACAGGAACTGTCATTTCATTGATTTGAATCCAGAAATACAGGTTCACCCATCCTGAGACTTTCTTTCTTGAAAATTCAAGTGGAAGAACACTCTCTGTTCTATTATCATTACTATTTTACAAATGTTGATAATCAAAGTGCCTTAGTTCAAACCATTTTAGATGTTGCAGTGAACTAATCAATTTTATTAACTGTGTAATGATTTTTAATTCTCATGCAAAGTTAGAACTCATGTTAAAGCTGTTACAGAGTAATTATGCATTTTCTGATTTCTGTCTTTGAATGAGCAAGTGTGCGTTCCAGGGTCAGGAGTCGAAGCAGACATGCGTTGGAACAACTGTCTTGTTTATATCCTCTCAGACGTCAACAGGGGGGTTTTGGCACCTGTTTCTAAAACTCGCCAAAACAAAACTCTCTCTGTCTGTGAGAACATTTCTGATCTGTTCCATAACAATTCTTGCTGTCTTCTAACCTCTTACGTCACAAAACACACCCCGTCTGGTCGGTTCTGACCAATGGGAAGACTCCCAAATGAACCGGGAAAAGAGCTCTTTAAAAATGTCGGTACTTCCTGGTCTACCCGGTTCTGTTCGGTTCTGTGGGTTGGAGAAGTTCAGCGGCGCGGACAGTTCTGATATGTCCTAGCGCTGTGCAGTAGCTGTGGGAGCCGGGAAGACCCTGACATGACCACAGAGCTCTTCCGAGTTTCATGGGATTATAACATTTTCCACTGAGGTGAGCTTGTGTCGGACAGAATCTCGCCGCTACTCCGGACGAGTAACAGCATCCTACGGAGACGCTGAAGGGTGCGTTAAACGGAACCTCGCCTGAGACATCTCCAGGTAAAAGAGTCGATTTCACCACCTAAGTGTACTGTAAGGAAGAAGCTGAAGAAAGCCCGGAGAGTGCCGTTCTGTTCAACACTCTCCCTCAAACACCATCCTTACTCCCTTTAACTTCCTTCCCATCTTTAAACTCTTCTCTCAAGTAGAAATTCTTCCAGATATTTTAGAAATGTCTGTGTAAAGTGCTCATCCACCGCCGTGTGGATAAAAAGATCATAATTGTACAGTT